TTTTCTAATTGTCTGGGACCTCACCTGACCTCCAGGAATTTTCAAAGCAAGAAGCCGATTTGCTCTGCAGTTCCTTCCACAAGTTCCCCGAGTACACCAGGATGAATTACACATGGATCAGAAAACATCCAGCTTATCTAAGCGACTTGTAATGTGTTCTCCTCCTGCTCGAGGCTGAGGACTTGCCCTCTGTCCATGAAGCTACTTGCGCTGGTCATCTGACAGGTGACCGAGGTCACTGAAGAGCTCTCGGTCCAGCCTAGCAGGCCTCTTGCTATTCTTCCAATCCTTCCTTTGCATTGGGCTAATATCTTTTTGTCCCAATAGTCGTGTGCCCATAATATTGTCTCTTTAAGGAACAACCAAGTCCTCTGCACTTGTATCCATGACTCCTGCGTCTTATGAGATCCTGCCTACTAATTTTCTGAGTTAGTTAAAATCTATTTTTCTGAAGGCCAAAGTTTTAGCTTGCTGTTCTCCTTTCTCCCCTCCCTTAGGCTCATGAACGCAACCATTTCGTGCTCAGTCACTATGTCACCTTCCACCTTCAGGCTCCCAACTAATTCCTCCCTACTAAGCAGCAATTTGAAAACACAGGCCTAAAACTGGCTTCCTGGGCTACTGGTTCTAGTCCCCTGCATTTGCAAGCCATCATTTATCCCTCGATTCCCCAGAATCTCTGCTTCAAACCCTCACATGCAACTACAAGATACCAAATACCCGAAACACCAAGAACAGCATACAGCACGCAGCATGCCAAAGGTGAAAGGAGGAAGACAAGGGCACTGCTAATGCCCAGTCATTGCAGTAACAAGAGAGGAATTTGTACTGGAAAACATCCTAGGCAAAGGACCTGACCTGCACTACGGAGGAAGGCAAAACCCCCAATTATCATTGCCAGTATGATCTAGGGAAAACATTCCTCCTTGAACACAACCCTGGCTCTCAGTTTAACCCAGAGCAGAAGAACACGACCCTTAGGCAGGAACCTCTGTTTTTTCTAAGCATCAGTAGGCACATCCTCATTCTCCAGTCAAAACCCTCTGCCCTAGCTGTGGCCAATGCCCCAGTGCTTCAGAAGGAATAAAACCTCCAGAATACAACAATACATTTTCATGAATCATGATAAGAGAAAATTCCTTCCCAACCCCTACTGGCAACTACCAGAAGCCTTGAAACATGGGATTATTCAACAGCTACCATGCTGCTGGGATAGAGATTTCCCTCAATATCCCAGCCAAGGGACTGCAAATAAATTATTCCACAGACTGTGCACACTGATCAAGGAGTCACAGCTCCCAGTCCCATCACAGCTGCCTTGTCATAAAAAATTATGCAGATCAGTCATAAAACAATTCAGTTCTTTGCCTCCACCAACAGTTTTCTCCACCCTGTGACAAAAACTGTCTCCAGTACACTCCAACACAGGGGTGGGCAATTTTGGGGTCCACAGGCCACATAGGGAGTTTTGGTGAGCTGTTGCAGGCTGGGTCAGCATCACATCCCTCTACACACCGCCCCACCGCACACAACAGTTCACCAAAACTCCTTAAGTGACTCTGCTCTGTGCTCAGCCAGGCAGCTGGGAATGGGGCAGGATGGGCAGGTGGGACCAAGGCTGAGATCAAGGGGTGGTGACAATGCAGGGCCAGGGTGATCCACAACCTGCAACGGGAGCTGGTTGTGTGGGCAGGGGCATGTGGGCAGTGGATCATGGCTCTGCCCCAGCCTCAGCCTCATGCTGTCACCGCCCTGTGATCCTGGCCTTGCCTATGTCCCTCTCCCCACCCGCCTGTTGCCCCATCTCGACCACCCAACTGTGTGCCCTGTCCATGCGGGTCATGCCCCAGGGGTGAGTGCAGGGCAGATGGGCCAGGGTCCCTGGGCAGTGGGGCCAGGTTTGATGGCGGCAGAAGCCAGAAGGAGCTGCCACTGTCGGGGCTGCCAGCAAGCAAGTCCAGCCGTGCTGCCCTAGCCCCACTGTGCATCCATGCCACGGCCCAGGCAGCTCCCTGCACCTGGCCTGGGCAGGTCCAAGAGACCCACTGCCAGTTGGGCAAAATCCCTTGGTAGACCAGATCCAGCCCGTGGGCCACATATTGCTCACCCCTGCTTTAACATCTTGAGGGCCAGTCTGTGCACTGTTGCTACCTTCCCAGCAGACAAGACAGCAGGTCAAGACCACCATAACCACCAGGTCCCGGGATTTGGATGCTTTAGTTTATATATTTAAAAAGCTCACCTCCTCTTCCCAGTGCAATTCATGGATTCATAGATGCTAGAGTCGGAAGGGACCTCAAAGCATCATCGAGTCCGACCCCCTGGCAGGGGCAGGAAAAAGTGCTGGGGCCATGTGACCCCAGCCAGGTGCTTGTCTACCACAAATCCCCCCGACATTGCCCTTTCTGATTTTCCTCTCCGATCTCACACCAGGGACTACCAAATACAACCATGACCCACTTCATACAAAATCTCAGAACAAACACATACATCTTCAATATACATGGAAGCACTTCCTTCCTTTTTCCCCGCATGTCCTTCCTGAATCCATATCCATATTCCAGTCAGATGAGCCATCCCACCAAGTCTGTTATTCCAGTCATGCAATAAATTGGGCAGCATAGCAGACTTCCCATTCTTCCTGCTTATTCCACACACACCTAAATTAGGCATCCTAATTGACTGTTTTCCCCATTACAACCTCATTAAAATTTCCCCATACAAACGCCTCTACCTCACTGGCCAGGAATTAAACCCAGGCAGCTGTTCAGAAGGCAGTACTATCCCACCAATGCACCCAAAACCACGAGGGTATGCCATGGCACTCCATCCAACATGCGCCCAGCTGCTGACGGCTTTAATGGAAACAATTCCTAAAACATGTTGTTTCTGTTTTAAAATAAAAAACAAATTTTACTTCCAACAATAAAAACAGGAGCCGTTTTAATGAGCAGAAGCTGTTCCAGCAAAATCCAGGCCAGGGTTTCTTATTCCCCAAGTCAATACCAAGACCCCAGCTCAGGTGAGCAGGGATATCCAGGTCAGGTTTTCTTCTTTGTTATCCTCCATGATTCACCCAGCTAAGAGGGAATCCTCAACCTGTCTGAGGCCAGCCCACAGACTTCCCTAGGTAACGCTGCAATAGCCAGGGATAAATCCAGCGCTGGATCTTCCCACCCAGCAGGAACGGGTTTTGCACGGCAGGAGCCTTGAGAAATGGGCTTCTTCGAGCAGCTTGCTCAGCAGCATTGTACAAGCCCCTGGGTCCTAAAGAGCCTTGAAACACTGCAGAACAACATGCTAGAAAGAACTGTCCCTGAATCCATGGGCATATCAGGTGCTCGGATGCTGCAATGATGAAGGCTAAGGGGCCAGCCAAGTTTCGAGATGTAATAGCAGAAATGCCAGGACAATGGGGCTGGGTGTGAGGCAAGTTGGCTCTGGCTCTCTCACCCGCCTGTACATGTCCTTGCACATGTCTTTCTGCTCTGTCCCATGCTTCTGGCCTCTTCTGGAGAAGCATACCCTGCCCTCAACTCCTATTCATTCAGTGGGAGAAACATGGTGCTAGGCACTGGGCACTCAGGCTCTCTCACACCCACCACATCTCCTGATGCAGTGCACGTTACCTAGCTCCAGCGGGGCCAGCTGGCTGCGCAGCTGCTGTCAGCACCGATGCAGGTATCCTCATTCCTGCAGCAACCGCAGCCAATGAGCAGGTCCTGGCTAAAGCCCCGGGGTGTTGCTAATTATAGACTCTGTGCTAGTCACCTTTATTTATGGAGATGCTTCCCCCCCCATCTGCTGAGCTGGAAGTTTGGGTTCCCTTCCTGCTGGGATTCACCTCCAGCCCTCCTGGCAGGGAGACTGCACCACCAAGGTGCACAAGCTCCTTTTGATTTGCGTGTCCCCCACCCCCACTTATTTTTTTGCGGCCTCTTCAAAGCATTGACAACACATAGGAATGCAACTGGTATCAACAGCACTGGGGCACGAACAGGAAGAGGTTAGTCCTGAGGTTGGTAGGTTGGTTGGTTGATAAATTTAGATTTAAGGTCCCTGCAGCAGAGACACTGCTTCCCACATGGGTATTACCAAGAATCCTGCCCCAACTCAACTCAGGGGCTTTAGACTGCAACAGGACCAGCCTGGAGCCCACATGATGGCACAACATATTGTTGGATCTAACACCACGCATGCCTCTCTAAGCACAAGGGAGATGTAGCTATATCAGGTAATCAAGCAGACCGGTTGGTCATATGGGCCACTTGCTGTGCAATCAGGTCTGGGAAGTACTTGTGCAGTGGGCAGAGTTAAGGTTACCATAGGAACCTTTACTATGAATTTCCTGACTTGAGCACATGTAATAATCTCTGCCTTGATGCTGCATCCAAATAGGATTGTTGTACCCAGCTAAGAGCCCTAAATCCTGCCCCTAGGTTCCCTGTGCCACTGTGGTGTGGCTTGTCTTGAGTCAGAAAAACTAGGCTCTGCCCCATACTGAACAACAAAAGAGCGTAGAAGATAGAGCTCAAAACTGTCCAGCCAAGTCTGCAGCGGAGAACGTAGTTTTGCAGCCAAATTCTGCATAGGAAATTCCACCCCAGACCTGTCCTGCGTTAACACAAAGCATCACACACACACAGGCCGCCCTGTGTGTGTGGGAGGTCTGGGGTAGGACTATCCTGGTGAGCCCCATCTCACGAAGCAACCACCTCCACCTGTTCTAAGTGGCAGGATGAATCTCTTACTCCAGGAATTTAATTTCCCTTCCCTTTCAAGTGCTCTGGATTTTGCAACAGCGAGACACAATCCACCACAAAATGAAGCTATTTGAAGGTGACGGGGAAACTGACTGCTGGAGACTGCACTCGCCCAGGGCAGCTCCAACTTCACCAGAACTTCCCCACTCCTGGGGATATTGCAGACTGGCCGGGGTGTGGTCCAGGCACCTCCCTACCCCCATCCCTTAAGCAGAACACCCCTGGTTTTGTACTCACATCATCGTCTTGGACACTGAGGGGAATATCCAGCATGCACATCTGCACAGGCTGCATCAGCGCCTTCTGCACATTGAACAAAGGTTTCGCCTCCATCTTCCCAACGATGGAGGGATTGTGCTCGCTCATATGCTCTCTTTCTTCCCAGTTCCTAGACTAAGTCCAACCCAGGCAACGAAGCAGATGGGAGATCTTCCTTCGCTCAGTTTTGCCAGCACATCTTGCCAACAGCTGCTGCTTCTGCTGCACTACAAGGGCTTATTTCCTTCCTTGCAAATCAAAGAGTCGAGGAGCCGTACTGAGGCTTTGTGTCCGTGTCTGTAGCCAGCGATGTTCTTGAGATCTGAGAAACAGTCCTTTTCTGCAGGCGTGCCACGGCATGCTCCTTTCCTCCAGCCTCCCCTCCTTTCGCTTACTCGGTGTGATCTACGCTGCTAGCTCCTGCTGTCGCCTCGTACCAGCACGGGGTTTCCAGCCTCATCTACATGCATGGCACTCACAAACCCTGTGCATTGTCTCAAAAGACACAACAGGTCCTGCCTGTTGTTGATTTCTGATTACGATCAAACTGCGCCTGCAGCAGCTACAGCATTTCCCCGTGGCGGTCGAGGCGAACGAGCAAGCGGAGCTGGGTGTGTGAAGGTGATCTAAGCTGGAGCCTCCCCTTCTCTTCTCTTCCATCCCTTCCTTTTATTGTTTAAGACACCGTTTCAAACCAGTGCCTCCCCATGCTCACAGGACCACCATGAGGCTTAAATAATTCATGCCCAGTGAGTGCTCAGGGATCCAGTGGTGATGGAATAGCAACAAGCTGACAGGCAGTCAGTTCTGCATAGAAAGCTTTACCCCAAGGGTCAGGTGCTACCAAGTATGAGGCTGCCTCCCTGGCTGTAGAGTCTGCTGTACTCGGATGGGGCTGAAATAGAGGCAGCACAAGAGCCAGAAGGGTTTGAGGCATGGAGACTCAACTCAGCAGTGACAGGATGGAGTCAGTGGGAACCTCCCCACATCAGGCCATAGAGAGTTCAATGCCTTTGTGAATATGCTCTCTCCAGGGTCAAGTTTCTGTCCAGCAAAGCCCACCTCTAGGGACCTTCTGCACAACTCATGGAGGTGACCGAGAGGCCTGGCTGAGTGACTGCACCAGCCTGCAGCCTTGAAATGCAGATGGAACAAGGGTGCTGGTTACTGTATGGATTCATCATAGAGCAGGGCCCGATAGAGCACCTCTGCCCGATGCTTGGGTATCTCAGGTGGCTGCGAGTGGTAGGAACTGGCCAGAGAGGTGGGAGCTGGACAGGCTGTTCCCCCAGACAGCCTTCATCCTGCTCCCCACACTCCCTGCCCCTGCCGCCATGCACAGCTCAGCAACTGGCCCTGCAGCAGGCAGCATCCTCTCCAAGACTGCAAGCCCACTCAGTGCCAGTGGCCAGTGCCAAGTCCCTGGGCTGGCTCTCTTGTTCTTACATGTGGTGGAAATGGCTGAAACCTCTCTGGCCAGAGAAAGAGATAGAGCAGGGAAAGGACAGGTCAGTGGGTGCAGCCCAGAAGGGGAAGACCACCAGTCCAGCACCTTGACTCTGTGCCAAGCTGGTCAAAGGAGAACAATTAACTCAACATTCACCAAAGGGAGATGTGGAACAGAGGCCCAGGGAAGCCACTTCAGGGAAGGGATGGGGGATGCTGTGATGGCAAACAGCAAGTGGGCTCCATTGATGGGACAGCCCTGATACTCTGTGCCCACAGCACAGGCCTGTGAAGGGGTGTGAATCTCCCATCCTTTGCAAGGCAGCAGCTGTGCCCCTGCTGCTCCAAATCCACCCAGCTGGCTGTGGGCTTCAGCCCAGCCTAGAGTCACAAATGAAGATTACATGCATGGCTCCAGAAGAGACTTGCTGGGGGTTCTCATTCCTCCAACATGAGGTAACCAGGCCTCTGCAAGCACGGCTCAGCGTCCAGCCATGGCGCCGTTCCAGCTCCCTTCCTGACACGTGAGCCACAGGAGATGTCCAGGCCCTCGCAAATAGACAAGGCAGGTACAAAGCTCCACCACGGTAAATGGGCCAGATGCACATCATGGCAGAAAGGACACAAAGGTTTCTAGCCAGAAGAAGCTGGGTGGGATAGCCTCCCAAGAGGTGTGCTGAAGGCAACTCCAATATGGAGCTTGAGCACTCTACGCTCTGCACTGCATGCCCCGATGGCCCAGCCCAGGAAAATCAGGACTGGGCTCCATGAGTCTGGTGGTAGGATCCCGTCTAGTCCTGTGCCTCTAGGCTGGGGCAATTCCAGTGGGAAGCTAAGCTGTGCTAGGCACGGCTGTATGCCCGACTACAGCAGAGCATCACAAACGATGGCGCAGCTGGGGGGACCGAGAGCCAGAGCCTGGTCTTGGTTACTTGCAAAGAAACCCAGAGTGACTCCGCTATGTCACTTGCCCAACTTGCTTGCTCCGTGCCTGAGCTAAGGGGATAGAGTGGGGTTTAATGTCACACCCAGGGCCAGTGCTCAGTGGAGTCTGGGTCTGTGCCAGGCCCTCCCCATTAAGCCTCCACAGGGCCAGTGTCTGCTGCAATCAAAGTCAGGAGACGTGGTCTTCCCAGCTCCTAAGATGGACCCAGGTAGGGATGTACAGAGCTGTATATCAGGGTGAAACAGGCACCTCCTTGCTCAGCAGCTCAAGCCACACTGGATTTCTCTTTATAGGACTGTTTAAGGGGGTCTTTGCTTCCCTTCCCCTCTGGTTAGAAATCAAGTTGCAGACTTGAGGAGCAGATGCCTGGGGCAGGGTGTTAGGCTCATCTCACAGGACCCAAGTTCAAATCCTGGCTCTGCTTCACTCCTACCCCACAAAGCCCATGCAAGCCAAGCACTTGCTCACCTGGCTGGGCCACAACAGGCAGCCGTGCCCTGGTCCTGCCTGCACCCTTGCTGGCTAAATTCATTCTCCAAAAAGCTCAGGGGTCCCTCCTTTCTTTCACTCCTATTCTGGGTGTTTCTCAGGCCTCCCAGGCAGGACCTCAGCAGGTCCCCCTCACCTGATGGCAGGGCTGACTGCTTCCTGCTGTTCTCCCTACGCCCCATTGACCTGTTCCACCCTACAATAGCCAACAGGGGAGCATGGTGCAGCTCTCAGGCAACCTTTCAGGATCAAATACATGGGCACAGCCCTGCTTCCCTATCGGGCCCTCAAAGGAATCAGGGTGCTTAGCTGATGGCAGAAACAGCATCTGGAGAAGGAAAAGTGCTGCAGGATCAAGCACCAAGATCCTTGAGGTGTTTGTCTACGTGGCCTCTGTGCCATGCCATGAGCACAGGTGAGACGTGCTCCACCCAGTCACTCCAGCACCACACGGGCCAAGTGCCAGCTCCCTCACAGCATGACTCTGTGTGCACAGAGCCATGCCCAGGCTCCCAGGGTACATCTATACCATGACAGTAGCATGCCCCAAAAAATCCCTTCTCCAACCTGCCCCTGATCACGCATGCCAAGCCCAGAGCCTCGCTGGTGCATGTCTGGGTTTGGCACATGCAAATGGCAGGAAAGACTGACCATACTCAAATGCATCCCGCCTGCCAGGACGTGCTGGCGCTGCACTGCAGATGTACTCATGGTCTCAGATGAGCCTTTTGGAGCAGGCCTGGACATAGGCCAAGTCACCCTAGTCCCTGGGGTACAATGGGCACCTTGGCTTGAGGAAGTATCTATATGGTCTAAGTAGGGCAACAGTGCCCGAACTCTCAGTTCCTTCCTCCTGCACTTCCAGCCTCTGCTCTTTCCCATGGGAACCGAGATGGTGCCATTAAGCAATTGTCAATCTGGAAAGAAAGGGAGTCCCATTGTCTGCCGGCTGGATGTGTCTGACCAGCTTTTCCCCAGCCCCAGATGGCTGCAGAAAGGGAGATACGTCAGAGGGCATCACCTCTGAGCCAGCATGTTGCTGGCACAGGGCCAGCCTCTGCTCCAGGGCTCCATGACCTCCTGGCCAGGCAGCCATAAAGATGCCAGAGAGGAAATAACCTCTCTGGAAAAAGTCAGCAGTCATGCAAGAGAGCTGGAAAGGAAAACACAATGTCAAGAGCAAAAGTCCCCAGGACAAGGCCAAGGGGGAGGCTACTCCCAAAGAAAACAGAAGAGCTTGGGGCAGGAGGCCCAGGGACCTGTGGCCATTGGTGTGATGGAAAGGGACTTGAAGGGAAGGGGTCTCTTCTGCCAGAGAGACACCAGGGAAGCCCAGCAATGGGACACTCAGCCATTTTTCACACACATTCCCATCCTGGCACTGCGATCCTGTGGCACTCCCTGGTGTCCAGCTCCTTGCCACTGGACAGTAGCTGGCAATTCCTGCCCATGACAGATTCCCACCCTCATGCCAACCCAGTGTCCCTGAGAGCTCCTTAAATCAGGGCCATGGGAGTCAATAGCAGAGTGACAGGACTATAAGTTTACATGATCCTACCTATGGGACTGAGGAGCTCAGCATGCACAGGGGTCAGAGTCAAATCTGAAGTGGATTCCTTGAAGAACTATGGTATGACCTAAAACAGGCATCACCATCTGGACCACACCAGCCCCAGCCACGTACCAAATACAAAGCATTACCCTTACAAGCCTCAGTGCTCACAGAGGGACCAGGGACCTCCTTAAGGCATAATGCACTGCAGAAACAGAACAGCTCTGCACCTCTCCCAAGGCAGGACAGTTGCCATCTCCTACAATTTTCAAGGAACATGGGTTTGGGTTGTCAGCTTTGTAGAGGATTTCCTAGTAGATCCAGACAGAGCATAACCAAGCGACTGCATCATGATGATTACACTGCTCCAGTTCAATTCGGAGCACCAAAATTAGGCTTGTAAACAAGAAGGGCCTTAAGTTTTGCTTGCCCTAGGAATTCGGCCACAAGCGCAGCCATGAGGATACGAACCTTTAGCACAGACACCGTTTGCAAAGACACGGCACAGATGTCCCAACTGGACAAGGGCTCACTCAAGTTGGCTTCTCAGGAAAGTCAGTGCCTACTGGCCTGCAGAAGGGTCTCACTATCCAGCCACAGCAAAAATCCAACATCAAAGGTTTCCATAAAGTTAAAGAAGTCTCTCCAAGACAATGGAAGGTTTGTTTTTCAAAGGAAACTGCAGCTCCCACTTTTGTCTAAGACTTAAACATGGCAGCATCCTGCCTGGACAGGAGAATGTGCCACGGATGAGAAACAACGCAGAACTGACCTGGTTGTTTTCACCGTCCAAAGTGGATGGCAATGTGGCAAGGAAGTGAAAAGCAGCGTGATGAACGAAGAGACTTCATCCCCCTCATACACACCAGTAATGCGGAGGGGGGAACTCTGAACCTGGTGGCATAGCTAAAGAATTGCCCCGAGTTAAAAT